GTTAGCTCAAAAATTAAATAAAGACAATTGGTTATATTAGATGAAGGATAACCATACGTTGGAAGTCAATACGATGTTGGTGGTGGACCACAAATTTAACAGTTGCGATAACCCTTTTTTACTGGAAACTAAAATCTTAATATGAATTCTTGAAGAGTACCAATTGTGATATACAATATTTATAAATTAAGGGATGAACATCTTTGATGGGACTTCTCCTAGATTTGGAGTGAACCGGCTGAGATGAGCTCTGATTTGTCTGAACCGCCTCTGAATCGCCACGAACACCTACAAGAACTCAATGCCGGAGGGGTTCCCGACGTAGTGCCTCCGATGTTTAAGTCAGTATCAAGAAGAGAGAAGAGTGCTCTGCAGATAGACCAGCAGCAGAATATGGAATAAGTAGAGAGTGTCAAAAGTTAGGGTTTGGTCATACCTCATCCCCTTTTATAGGGGAAATACCTGCGCGGAGTGCCTCGGTCAGCATGCCCGGCTGCCCGGTTTATCCATATCCTAATCATCTCTTTGTGAGATTTGAGTCACCTTAAGATTCTATCTTATCCTCTTAAGATTCCTCCTTATCCGTTAAGTCTGCTGAATATTTGGAGTTAAGTATTGGTAGAGATACACCTTGCGTCGTGAGGTATACGGAATCGACCTCGAGAGATAAGAGGTTAACTAGGACCAGGGTGGAAACACCCTCGCAGGAGATGGTTTCTTGAGTTGTTGTGATAAGCGAAGATGACCTCGAGCAGCGCTGTAAATGAGCTTCGAGCTCGAGCTGTGTGATGAGTGTAGTCGACCTCAAGCTACCTGAGGTCGACTTCCCTTAGTAATGATGATAAGAGTCTTTGTTTATTTGCTCTCAAACCTCTTGAGGTCTTCGAGTTACTTTCTGTCGACGTCGAGTTATTAGGTTGAACTTTTCTTCCAAGTCGTCATTCCTCGAGCTAAGACGAGTCTCTTCACTTCTGCGACAGTTAACTCAGATCGTCGTCTACTTGCCCGAACTGACTTTTACATAACTCGATCCCTGGTCGAGTTATCCTTAATCCGATTTATTCTATATGGCTATATCAATCTTTTACACCCTATTATATGCATTTTTTTTTTCACATCTCATTGAAAAACTTATTTTTCACCCCACAAGAAAAAATGTTACGCGATATTATAATTCCATATCAAATGAACCATATAGTTAACGATTATGCAAAATTTTATAGCATATATGCCAACGCATATCCAAATTGGACGCATAATTAATAATTATGTGAATAACTTTTGCATATTTTATAGTCGGTCGCGAGGCATTGTTAGGACAAACGAGTCTTTTATCCCAGGTGTGCAATTGGGTCTAAACAGTGGCACGGGGGCTTCAGGTTCTGGCCGTGCAACAGAATCAAGCTCGGGTGTCTCGGCAATGACATCAGGTGCCTCAGGTGGACCACGACCTACCGGCGGGCTACGTTGCTTCTCGTGTGGTGAGATAGGGCATCACCAAGCGGCCTGCCCGCGGCTCGGGGACTCTCGGGCCATGTTTGTCGGCACCAAGGATGAGCAGATTGATGGGCCCTTGTACGACGGTCCACCGATCTTTGATGAGGAGGTCCGTGTGGAACATGTCACATGAGACTTCGGTTAGGCTCTTCTTCTTCGTCGTTCCTATTTAAATTTTTGTGCGGCACTGACATGAGTCTAGGCATCCGGGGACGAGGACGAGGGTGCGGCACTGAAATGAGTCGAGGCATCCGGGGACGAGGACGAGGATTTTAACTTTGATAACAATGTTATTCATGTAGCTACAGGAAAACATGAGCAAATTATTGAATCACGACACCATTTGACTAATCTTGTTGCAGAACGTGAGCATGTGTATGGGGACATTGGTCATGCACTTGTCCTTCATCAGTCTTTCTTGTCTCCTCGTGTATCACACGATGATGCGGTCAAGTGCCATCATAAATTTTAATCCAGGCTGTCTGCGGATCGGTTGAAGAAGAGGGCAGATTTTATGGTTGACCTGCGTCGGACTCATCAGTCGGTTTGTGCTAACTTGGAGGCGTCGACTGATTCATACAAATGTCAAGTGGATGCTCATCGGCATAATGTGGAGTTTGAGCTCGACGATTTTGTTTAGGCCATACTCACGAAGAATCGATTTTTGGCACATGAGTACACTAAGTTGTTAGCGCGGAAGATTGTCCCCGTGGAGATTATAGAAAAGATCAACCCGAATGCATGCCGTCTCCGTCTACCGTTGCACATTTGCATGTCTGACGTGTTCAACGTCAAGCATTTGGAGCCGTTTCTAGATGACAACACGGACGAAGACGAGATCGGCTAGGATTCGATGGCGAATCCTTCTCAATCAAGAGAGGATGATGGATAAGAGATCGCCCTTGCATTTCTGGATATATATAATCGGATGCCGACTCTTTTGTAATTATTTATTGCCATTCTTATTAGTTTTATTATTAGACTTTAAATATTTATTAGTTATAAATTGTTATGCTTGGTGGACAAGCTAGTATTAAGGTTTTCATAGCCTTATTTAAAGGACTCATCCTCTTTTGTGAAGGCAGTTGATATTTGAATTAGAAAAACGCGTATCTGAGATTAAAATCTCTTCTCTCTTTTTCCGTTCGTACGCTGCGCTACATCACATATCCAAAATCCACCATATAATTTATAATATACGAATGATTTCGCATATTTAGTTATCGCATATCCAAATCGATTGACGCATATTTTATGATAATGCGACATGTGCTTGCATATCGAAGTAAATAAAGCCATATAACTAACGATTATGCATAATGTTTTTTATATTATTCGCATAATTTGCGCACCTGTTGATTGTCTGATTTTTCACGTAAAAAATTTAGACAAATGACATGTATCTATTCATTATTTATATCCGCTGGGAGACGTCGCGGTCACCGCACGACGTTCTGGCAACA